CTGACTATGGTAGTGTCGGGAGGAAGAGGGAGAATCTCCCTCTGCCGTTTTCCTTAAGGTTCTTATGGGTGGCCAAATAATTAACAAGACAGGCTAGCAGGAGAAAATAATACCAAGTTTAATGACATGTATACATGGGAGAAAGCAGGGACACTGCGTTGCTCAACACAATGGCAGAAATTCTCGTCTTAAATACCATGTTCAACCAAAGACAAGGAGGATGTTGGCGGTGGGGGGTGTCAGTTACAGGAGATTACCACTAAAGCACTGTAAACAAGAGTGAGGTTTATTATGCAGTTTTAAGGCCTCGCCTTCCACATTGATAAGTTTCTAGAAATGAGGTCATCCTCCCTCTTCCCAATACAGAGAGGAAGATACCTTTACAAATGGAGACTTCCCTTGTAAATGATTGTCTGGCAACTCCTTGCAGGGCCATCCAGAGAATGTGGCCAGAGAGACAGAACTTCCGATAAGATGGGCTTGTTGGTTGCTTTTCTATTGTAACCTCTATCCTACATTATCTTTATAGCCGTCATGATAATAACTCCTGCCTGAAACAGATCTTTGTTTTAAATTCTTTAGGCATTTTGGGAGGGGAAACTCAAATATTCTTCCTGAGTTCTCTGAGTCCTTATTGTCTTCAGCTCAAAATAATCCGCATATCAGAGTGGTGCCTCCTAGGGTAGCTTGCCCTGAGCTCCATCAGTTGGAAAGGAAGGATGTGGTCTCAACTGGAGTCTGGCTTCAGCCTGGAGCCATGGGAACTCTGGAGGACACATCACACTACTGAGCTGATTCCACCTTGAGGCAAGGGCACCAGCCTTTTTTGCCCCTGCTCTGCTCATTCATTGGCTACTTTTGAGCCCTAAGATAGTGGTCATGTAGCCGGAAAAACCCGGGACCCTGTCACCATAGCCGAATCAATGAAGACAATGACAAGGGATCAAGGAGAAGAAAAATGGTTTAATTTTACCAGCAAAATGAGGCTGCGGTGGGCTCATGTCCCAAAATCCACAGTCCTCCTGAGGCATTAGGAGATGGGGTTTTTAAAGGGGAATCTGTGGGAAAGAATGTACCCTTGGTGACTGATTATTTGTTGGAGGAGGGATCCCAGCTCTCTGGAGCCAAGCCAGCTGTTATCTCTATCTATAGCAGGAGATTTAGGGCTCCATCAATCAATCTTTCAGCATCACCCAAAATTAGGCCCTGGGAAGTGGAAGGAAACTGCCGCCAATAAATGCTTTGCAGTCCGGTGTCCTCCCATCAGCCTGCGTTTAGCCCAGATAAAGGCAGCTGGAAGTGTCCTCCATTTGTCTGTCCCTGTGATGAATGGTGGATTTGGCACCAGGAATCAGGAGTTGGGGAGCTTCGGCTTCTTGATAATTTCAAGATATCAGTCTACTTGTAACAAACCTCAAGAACTGGTAATTAACCAGAATTTCAGTTTGTAGCCCCCAGGGCTTTTAACAATTTATTACCTCCATTGTCTGGTGGAATTCAGGGACACAAAGGCTAAAACAATCAATATCTACATGTGAATGTAACTTAGAGAAGCAGGGAAGAGGGACTGAGTGCTTTTGGTTTTAACCCCATCTATGCTGGGTTTAACGTAGGGGAACTGATATGGGGCGGCATCAAGAGAGAAGCCCCAAGGCTTTTTAGTTTTTCCCCTGTTACAGGCGTCATCCCCCAGGGGAAGCAGCTTCAATTTTCCCTGGTGCAATTGTCCAGAGGAGATGAGTCTGTGAGCTGTTAGCAGCCCAAACACACAGCAGCTGGGGCCTGGGCGCCCTGGCCCAGTGAAGGGGATTTGTGCTGGATGCAGCAGTCTCCACCACACACTGCACCCTCACTGGCACCACCAGAGTTTAGGCCTCCATCTTTTCACATCAGATCATTACAAAACATCCTAACAGCTCTCCTGCTGCCTGTCCTGTCCTCTTCAATTCATTTCCCACACCATAGCTAGAGTCATCATTTTAAAATTCAAATCTAACTGCGTCATTCACTAGCTTAAAAGACATTCCAATATTTTCCTCATGGTGTTTAGCATTAAGCCTTACCATGACTATGAGACCCTTCTTGATCTTCCCTGTTCCTGTCTCTCCAGCTTCATATTTTGCTATTTACCCTTTATAAGGTCAGTGTTCAGCACGTTGCCTGGCACACAGTGGGCATTCAATAAAGAACTGTTGAATGAATAGGTGAATTAACAACCACAGCCATATTGAATTGATTAGGCTTCCCGCATGCTTATTTTCACCTTCTGGCCTTTGTTATTGTTGGGGGAAGAGGGAGAATCTCCCTCTGCCCTTTCCCTTAAGGTTCTTTTGGCTGGCCAAATAATCAACAAGACAGGTTAGCAGGAGAAAATAATACCAAGTTTAATAACATGTATACATGGGAGAAAGCAGGGACACTGCTTTTCTCAACACAATAGCAGAAATTCTCGTCTTAAATATCATTTTCAGCCAATGACAAAGGAGGATTTTGGGGGTGGGGGGAGTCAGTTACAGGAGATTACCACTAAAGCACAGTAAACAAGAGTAAGGTTATTATGTAGCTCAAGGCCTCACCTTCCACATTGACAAGTTACTAAAAATGAGCTCATCCCCCTCTCTTCTCCAAACAGAGAGGGAGACACCTTTACAAATGGAGATTTCCCTTATAAATGTAAATGATTGTCTGGCAACTCTTCGCAGGGTCATCCAGAGAATGTGGCCAGAGAGACAGAACTTCTGATAAGAGGGGCTTGTTGGTGCCTTTCCTATTGTAACATTTACCCTATGTTATCTTTACAGCCATCATGATAGATCTGTTCCAGGAAGGAGCTACCATGTCAAATTCTTTAGGCAGTTAGTGGGGGAGGTCAAATGTCCCTAGAGAAAACAACCAAGGTAAAGAGATAGATTTCAGGGTGGCCAAATCTTGATCTCCCACATTATGTATTCTTTCTCCTAGGAATGCTCTCACACCAACGATGCCTATTCAGTCTGCTGGCTCTTTTTCGTGCTTTGGATCCCAGTTTTTATGTCTTCTCCCTGGAATCTTTCCTGAACCCCTAGGGCTTTGTTGTGTGTCCCTCAAACATGCTTTCATACCACCCTCTGCCGCCTCTATCTTATCACTTATGACACTATATTGTATCTTTAAGCTCTCTTCTGAGTGTCTCTCAATGGATATTAAGCTCTGTGAAGCCAAAACCCAGGTTCCTCTTTATTCACCACTGAAGCAGCAGCAACCATCAAGGTGCCTGATACATTCCTTATGTTCAAAAATATTTATTGGCTAGTGAATGAAGGATGGAAGAAATAAATGGAATATATTTACCCTGAAATTGTTTTTTGTGTAGATGGAGCTACACATTTTTAAAAAGAGCTTTTCATAATGAAATGTTACCAGAAAGTAAACCAATTAACAGAGAAATATAACAAAAACAGCCCACATGTATAAGATGATGCAATCTTGCTGAGCAGAGAGAATATCAAGGTAAACTATTCGCTTATTCACTGAGAATCCCAGTTTCAATTTCTTTCTCATGACACAGTTTAAGCAGAAGTAAAAACAAATTCTGGTTTCCCTAAGAGATCTGCCTAGAATTCTCCTCACAGCCTGGATCAGATAAAGCTAGGAAAAAAATTCCCTAGTCTCCAGTATTATTATTATTATTATTTTCTTTTTTTGTTGAGGAAGATTGGCCCTGAGCTAACATCTGTTGCCAATCTTCCTCTTTTATGCTTCAGGAAGGGTGTCCCTGAACTAACATCTGTGCCAATCTTCCACTATGTTGTATGTCGGCCACTGCCACAGCATGGCTTGATGAGCAGTGTGTCAGTTCACTCCAGGGATCCGAACCCGCGAACCCCAGGCAGCCAAAGCAGAGTGTGTGAACTTAACCACCACACCACTGGGCCAGCCCCCAGAATTATTTATTGCTCTGTATTTTATTGACTTTTTTCATCATCCTTTATACTTGTATTTATTCTTTCAATTTTTATCATGTACCAGATGTTCTACTTGTAGAAACTATTGTTAGTTATCAGGGAAGCACTTATGGAGTATGAATGTATATTCAATAAAAGGAAATTCCTCTCTGACAGTAAGATTTTTTTTTTATTTGAGTCATCACTTTTTCTGACAGGGCATCAGTGTAAGATGATGACAAGAGCAACACAAATGATTCTGAACCTTACATGGAAATTTGGAACATGGTGTAACTTTTGTCACTTGCCTCTTAGAAGTTAAATGGCACATTGCTTTTAAATTACTAAAGTATTTACATACCACAATATTCCATTCAACATATTATTATCAATTATGATATATAAAAATGAGCAGAGTTATTAACAAAAATATTATTTTTTATAGATTATTAATATATATTATGCTATATAACATACATATTATAATATATATTTTATATATATGTGTGTGTGTCTATATATATATATAGTGCCATCAGCTCCGTCCCTAGCTGAATAATGGTAACAATTATAGTTACCTTACCTTTCTATCACCATTGCCTGCTGGTGTCTCATAGCAGTGAAGAGCGTGTCTGAGAAAAATCAGTTAGATCCTGTTACTGGCTCTTCTATGTGTCCGTTTTGATAGCTTCCCCTTTCTGTCTGCCTCCTCACCTGTAAAACGGGGATAATAGCAGCGCCTACCTCTTTGGATTGTCATAGAGATTACTGCTTGATACCCATGTACTTTGTTATATTTTGTTTTCTTTTTATCAGAATGACAGCTTAGGAATCCATATACATGGATGAACCAGTAAAACTGAGCCCCACTTTGGTAGAATTTTCCAAATATGCAGAGGAACACTGGCTTAGATTTCTTTCCCTTTTCTTGCACTCATTTCTGCTCCGTCCAATGCAGAAGCCTGATTCAAAGCAGTCAATTTTTTTCTTTATCTCATAGGTATTCTTTGCTGAGATCATCTAAAATGTCATTTTGACCATTACCTCAGTTTAATCAAAGTTGGGCTTCAAACACATTTAATTGTCACCTGGAATAGCTTCCTTACTGCAGAGTTTCCTAATGGCATTTTTCATCTGGGCATTTCTCAAGGTATAGATTAAGGGGTTTAACATGGGGGTTATCATAGTATAGAATACAGCAACTGCTTTATCTATTGATAAAGTAGCTGCAGGTCTCATGTATACAAATGTACAGGGCACAAAGAATAAGACAACCACTGTGATGTGGGAGACACAGGTGGAGAGTGCTTTGCGCCTCGCCTCCAAGCTGTGGATCCTTAGGGAGTGCAGGATGACCACATAGGAGACCAACAAGAGGAGGAAGTTTAACACACAGATGAACCCACTATTAGCAGCAATGAAGAGCCCTAGAGTGTGGGTGTCAGTGCAGGCAAGATTGAGTAAAGGATTCAGATCACACATAAAGTGATCTATGATGTTAGGGCCACAGAAAGATAATTGGAAGATGAAGAGGATCTGTATGGTTGCATGAAGAAAGCCTCCGACCCACACTACTCCCATTAGCAAGCCACACACCTGCCGATTCATGATGATTGTGTAGTGCAAGGGCTTGCAGATGGCCACATAGCGGTCATAGGCCATCACAGTGAGCAGGATGACATCAGCACCTCCAAAGAAATGTTCCCCAAAGATTTGGGTCATACAACCGTTAAATAAGATGGTCTTCTTTTCATGGAGTGAATCTATGATCAGTTTGGGGGTACTGACAGTGGAATAGCAGGCATCAATAAAGGAGAGATAGGCCAAGAAAAAGTACATGGGGGACCCCAGTAATGGGGTGGCAGTGATGGTAACCACGATGAGCACATTTCCTATCATAGAAATGGTGCAGATCATAAAAAACACAACAAATATGATTTTCTGCATTTTTGGATTCTCTGTGAGCCCCAGTAGAACAAATTCTGTCACATTTGCATTCTCCATGGATTTTGTTATGGTTAATTATATTACCTGAAAAAAATCACTTTTTATTAATGCAACCTTGAATTTATTAAACTTGTCCATCTAATAAATAATAAATTACTAGATTTTATTGAGTTGTGAATACTTATAAGATTTTTTGAAATAGGAAAATGTTCTGAGCTCTTGAAAATTACTTAAATTATATTCTGGGTAAAGATTCTCTTAAGAGTATAGACATGAGGATATTTGGAAAGTCAGAGGCAGGAGATCATGTGTGTGCACTTAATCTTCTGAGATGACTAAGAGCTTAACGTGAAATAGGAGACTGCACACCTACTGGCAGTTAAGCTTGAAAAGGGAGGTAGAACATGGATGTAAATGCTATGAATGTAGAGCTGAGGAATTTTCCCTTTATTCTTAGGAAATGGGGAACCATGGAAGGTAATTGATAATATGAATGGAAGGATGCATCTCAATAATTTGAGAAAGGAGGAATCATGAATGTAACTCTAGTAAAAATGTTGGTGTATCTTGGATGAAGTAGACTGAGGTTTAGTAAGAGGATGGAAGCCAGAGAAAGGAACTCCCATATCAGACTATTTATAATAGTTGACATTAAGTGTGACAGGGCATTGGTGAAGAGACTATAATGAAAAGATACAGGAGAACTGTAAAAGAACTGATAATGCATATTGTCTCATTGAACAACATTATAATAGCTAACAAATATACTTTTTAATGATTGATTGCTATGTGCATGGTTTGTGATTGCTGTGTGGTTGGTATTATTTCATCCATTTTGCAAATGAGGAAACAATCTCAGAGACTAATGTTAATAATGATAATAGTAACTAAAATTTACCGAACACTTATTATGCTCTAAGTGTTTTTGCAGACATTTGGTTATTTAATCCTCACTAGAAACCTGTGAGTTTCTAGTGAGGAACCTTATTTTACACATTAGGAAATAAAAGCATAGAGAAGTTATGGATTCTGCCCAAGTTCAAGCAGATAATAAAGGGCAGAGCCAAGATTGGGCAGGTCAGATTATGCTTGTTAACTTCTCTTCCTGCAAATTCTTAATCCATGCCCTACATTGTTATGTTATAATAAACAATGTTGAAATAGTAATCTCTTTTTGATATGATCATGATAATTATAATTACTTTAATACTACTCAGAGGCAAGTGTATATGAAGCAATTACATCAATGCATACACACACGCAGTAACATATTGGAATCCCCAAATATTAATAAAAATGTGGTATCGCTTTCATTGAAGGTCTCTTTTATCTTGGCCTCTCCCTCAGCCCCATTTCCTTTCTCCCCAATCTCTCTTCAGAGCATGCATCCCCACACTCTTCTGCAAAATATTGAAAATGACTACCACATCGGTTAAGTGTGTTGGTTTGAGAATCAGAAAGACTGGACTGGAATCTAGCCTTTTCCACTTTCAACTTATTTTGCGTGAGGTATGTTACTTTGGCAACTTACATCCTTACTTCCTCATCTATAAAGTGAAAATAATGATAACGACCTCACAGGTTATCACAATTGTTTGAAGAAATAATATGAACATATTCTCCACACTACTATGGACACACAAGGATTTTCATCTATTATTGTGATTGTGTATGCACCTAGGAAAGAGGAAGAATTGGCATTTTGAAGATAGTATAGAGACATATTTAAGCATGCAATAAATTCAGGAAGATCCATCTCCAACTTCACTTTTAAAGAAGCCACAGAGACTCATCTTGTCCATAGCAGTCAGTCCTAGGAAGGGTGTTCCATGTTTGTGCTTGGACTAAATAGCATATGATTTATGTCATTTAAAATTCATATTTATGTTTTTTCTGTGTGTGAAGTGTAGTTAAATTTTGTTTTCATTCTCAAAATTACTCTCGATTATTAAAAGAGGTGTCTCATGGCAAAAGAAGGGTGCCTGGTGTCAGAGAGCTGGATCCCACAATATGCTTAATCTATATGAGCCTCAAATTTTTCACCTGTCAAATTAGGTTAATGATATTTACCAACTAAATTTGAAGAATTGGAGTGAGGATAAAATTCTCTATTACTATAGTTTCAAAGTGTTGAAACATAATGATTGCTATATACAAGAAGTAACAATCTTTAAGATGCATTAGCACTGTTGAAAACTCACCTTACAGTCTTAGATGGTCTTAATGATATTTGGGGATGTTCGGAAAAAATTCCGTCTTCAAACTGACCTCCTCTTGGGATAAGAAACTTTCAATATGAAAGATATGATACACTAGGAAAGACTTTTCAGATATTTCAATTTCAAATCAACAATTGTTAAGAAAGTGTTGTTACTAGTCTAAATCTTTCCGTCTAGCCTAAAGCCTCAAAAAGTTTTCACAGAACCCCTGGATTTGAATTTAGAGTGGATTCATTTGAAATACTATGAAGAAATGGTCTTCTATGGATGGCGCTGGTCCCATAAGCAAAAGGCAGAAAGTGTGCAGGAAGTACATTCAAATGGGTCATTCCATCCATGATGAATCTTGCTCTGGAGATATAAACAATAAAAGATATTTTCACCTTGCACTACATGGATATTTAAAGAGGTTTTCATAAATTTTCAAGGACCTAGTCTTTTACTTGCTACTTTCTCTCTCAGGAATTCATTATCTCCTCTGATGGAAAGGCTTTGTCTTAGAAGCAGGTATTCTGGAGAGACCTGCTTGAGAAACACCCATTCACGAATGGGGAATTGTATTCCCTGCACTTAGAACCTAAACACATGAAAATCCCCTTTCTCTATCTGAACCTGGGTTTCTAAGAAAGCTGAATGTCATGTGAATAGCAAGATGACATAATTCCACTGTGGAGACTTGTGATGTAGTTAACATATAGGCTTATGTCACAGAGAGAACTTCTGTCTTATCAATATTGAACTTTTTCTGTAAACCCACTTTTGATTGCTTGAGAGCTAGAGCAGAGAGGGCATAAAGTTAATGATAGCCATTTTAAAGTACTTGCCTTCAAAAGCTGCTTTTCACATTCATCAGAGAGCTATGGAAGTACAGAGAAACTCTAAACGGTTCCCAATGGCTTATCTCTGGGGACTCATGTGATGGTCAGTATGGAATACCAGGCAGCATTAAAAATGTGGAGAGATTTCTAAAACACAGGAAGAGAGTTCTAATTTCAAATGCAAAAATTATTCTACGCTTGCCATTTGGTATTGTTAGCTGTTTTCCTTTAAGTCATTCTAGTAGGTGTATAGTGATAAATTGTTGTGGTTTTAGTTTGCTTTCCCTGATGACTAATGATGTTGAGCATGTTTTTTATTGTTATTATTGGTCATTTGTATATTTTTTTTGAAATTTCTTTTCAAATTCTTTTCATAATTTAAAAATAGGAGTTCTGGGTTTCTTATTTCTAAACTGTGAGTGTTCTTCGTATATTCTGGATATAGGTCTTTGTCATATATATGTTTCATATATATCAATAAATATAAAATATATGTATGTGACATCTGATGAGCAGAAGATTTAAAATAATGATAAGGCTCATTTTTCCAGTTTTTCTTATAGTTTATACTTATTGTACTGTGGGAGATCAAAATTGACCACCCTGAAATAGCTCTCTTTATCTTGATTATTTTCTCTGACGGACATTTGACCTCCCCCACTAACTGCCTAAAGGAAATTAACTCTGGATATGGACAGACTGGCAGGGTCCTCACTAAGCCCATTCTTTTCAAAGTTCTGTTTACCAAATATTTACATTTGTAAAGGTATCTCCCTCTGTGTAGTAACAAGAAACAGGGATGACCTTATCTGTGAAAACTCTTATCAGGACGGAAGGAGAGAATTTAAATGTACATACTCTTGATTACTGTGATTTCTGTGTCTCTGGCCACATTCTCTATTGGTGGCCCTGCAAAGCATTGTCTGACAAACATTTACATTTCCCTCTCCATGTGAATTGTCTTCTTCCCCTCTTAAATCCCAACCCCCCCCACCCCCAACATCCTCCTTTGTCTTTAGCTGAAGATAGTATTTAAGACGAGAATCTCTGCTATTGTGTTGAGAAACTCAGTTTCCCTGGTCTCTCCTATGTATACATGTTATTGAACTTGGGATTATTTTCTCCTGCTAACCTCTCTTTTAATTATTTGGCCAGCCATAAGAACCTTAAGGGAAAGGGCAGAGGGGGATTCTCCCTCTTCCCAGACAGTATCATATCTAATAAATATTGGTCTACCCCAGGATCAAAAAGATTTCTTCTGGAATTTCTATAGATTTAGATTTAGGATGAAGGCCTCTGACTCATTTTAAGTTAATTTTTTATACAATGCGAGATAGTGGTTGAGAGTCATTTTTTCTCATATGGATATATAACTGATCCAGCATAATTTGTTGCAAATCCTATTCTTTTCCCATTGAATTACTTTGACATTTTTGTAAAAAATTTATACAATTAGGTCTATTTCTGAACATTCTATTGTGTTTCAATGATCTATATGTTTATCCTTATGTCGATACCACTCAGCACTGCTTATGGGAGCTTTATAGTAAGACATGAATTTAGGTAGAGGTAGTACTCCGATTGTGTTTTTTTTTTTAGAGTGATTTGCTATTCCAAGTTCCTTTAAAATTGTCTATTTCTTTTTTTTCTTCATGGGGCATCATTCCTTTGTTTTTACTTCCAGGCTCCAAATCTTCAATTTTTACTTGCAGTGATGTCAGTGTTTCCCAGCCCAGTATTCACCCCCATGTGTTACTTCAGTCTGCGAGATGACAAATATTTAATATATATTTTGCTTCAGATGGTAACCAGCCACTGCTGATCATATCCAAAATATGAGAAGGCATTTTTTGTAGTATATCAATAACATAAAAATGATTTAAGGATGAATAGCCATATCTTTACCAAAATAGCTTTTGGTATTTCTTCAGGCCATCTTTTAGTTGAATAGATAATATGCCTCACTTAGTATATTTCTATTTCTAGCAATATTTATTTATTTATTTATAGCTTCATTTAT